TATACAATTTTCTGTCCATTACAATTTATACAATTTTCTGTCCATTATATTTATATGTCCATTACATTAATATCTTCGCAATAGTGTCTTTAGTTAATAACGCAGAATTTATTTAATTTTAGATGCCGCAAGGGAACATCCAGTATCAAGGGACGCAGAGAAGAGCCTGCGGTCCAGGAGCGCACTGGAACGTTCAGGTATCATTGAAGAAAATGAATGCTCTGGTAACACTGGCAGCTTGCTCAAAGTTTAGTTAGGACCTGACGGGAACTATTTAAATATTTCTTACATTTTTGTATCCGCACAATAGAACAAATACTGAACTAAATAGACCTAAATTCTACGAATAGAGCATGGTTTAGCGCAATAGGCAGATATTGTCACAAGGTCACAAGATTATTTAATTATAAATGTAAATAGAAGACACTCGTAGACACTTGCGATATACGAGAAACGATTATTACAAGCAAAAACTTTTTACGACTAATGGCAATTTATAATTCTTCAATTTTCTCAAAACGTTAATTATTCTGAGATATTCCTTCTACATTTTTTATTACTCAGCGATTACGCATGGCAACAAAAACATGAGCTCTAGAGAAAGCATGTTTCCAATAAGAATTGATTTGATTACATGAAATTATAGCACTTTGACATAAACAAATACATGAAACACGAGATGTTTCCAATCCTCCAATCCTCGAGTTATCGTGCAAGGCAAAACCACAGTGATCGTTCAGGAGTGGAGATAACGTACAAGTATCGTCCAGATTAGCATCCGTTAACAGAAGTAATTAAATCGAATAGGTGGTGAGAGACAAGGTGACAACACGGTGCTTGTGGTACGCCTGCGAAGCTCTCGGAATTGGTCTGCTACTAATGCTTTTAGGCGCTTGCATGGCGACCATAGGTGAGTAGAACCTTAGGGGATAATAAATGGTTCTTCGTTTACTTAGCAGCTGCTGTACCATCCTAATTACCTAAAATCTAAATTCGCTCTTTGATCTATCTATCAAACGTTAAAAACAAGAGAAAGAAAGGTAGTTGCATGGATAGCAGTGATCCTATTTTAACATAATTGCTTATATCTGCACAAAAAACAATGTCTAATTTCATCTACTGCATGGAAGTAAACAGAACATTACAAATTACGAAATTGAAGTAATTTTTCTCAATGCTAGTTAATAATCACAATGTATACATTATATATACATATATCGAAGTTACTGTCACATTTCTTCTCTACTTATTAGCTTAAGTAGACTTAATTATAATTCTAATAATAAATTGAATTTCTTTAACTATCACTGATATAATATTTCGCACTTCATATCGTTACAAAGATAAATTGACACAAAGTTCTGATTTAGGGTACTTCGCAGACCAACTTTCCGTGGCTCAGGAAGTTAGAGGTAATATAACAGTAAGAGTGAAGAACGAGTCGCGTGGATTTCACCTGAACAACCTCAGTTATGCTGGACCAATAGTCATGGGCGTAGGAGGTATTAATTTCTCCCTCTTTCTTTAAATATATATATATACATATATGTAGTACATAAATATATTACTCTGAAAGCATGCATTTTTATAGATTCCGTAGTAAAAGATAGTCCCCCGTTCGATAAAACAACATACTATTAAAAATATCCGTTGCAAAAAGAAAGTGATTAAGCACCCAGCTAAAAAAATGAAATGTCACAAATACCACGATAAAGCTTAACAAAATTATTTAAATAACATTCCATTGCTCTGGGAATGCTGTAGACGATTAATTGTTACTATAAAATTGAGGAAAAAAGTAAAAAAAAAAAAGTTGCCCCCAGAGAGATTTGAACTCTCGACCCCTGGTTTACAAGACCAGTGCTCTAACCCCTGAGCTATGGAGGCTCACGAACTTCTACCGTTCCAATACCGTGCAAGAGCTTCTATACACCCTATATTCTTAATACATTTAAAAGATTTTTTAATCAACATACAAAAACATACGAACAAATTAATGAATTAATTACTCGATCACGCTACAATATAAAATCATTCTTTCTTTGCGTAAATTTAGTACCAAACAAATTTAACATCAAACAATAAACTTAACAATTACGCAACTTTTGTTTCTTTTAATTAACACACAATGAACTCCCGCAGGTTTCATCGTAGTGGCAGCCTGCGTGATGACCTTCGAGGCCCGCGACAACGCTGCCAAGGTGGTGCCAGCGCGTTTCCGCTTTAACCAACCGTCGACAATAAAGAGCATCAGAAACCAGCGCAATAGAAGATCCATATCCAGCCAGACAACCAAATGGGACCACCAGCTGGGTGTCTTCAGGATGAACAGAAGCCCAAGTCCGAGTTTGCACGAGGTTCTACGGAAACAATTGACCGCGGAATTCATGCAGTTCTCCAAAGAAATGAAGGAGAAGCAAGCTGGACATTCCATCAAGAAGAGTCCCAGCGCGCCAACCTTGGTGGACAAGAGATCACCTCGTAAGAGGTCTCCTAAATATGCTGGGTGCGCACTGTTGAACCCTGAATTACTGCAGAGACATGCTCTGTCTGTTGACAATCCTAGCTACAATGTTCACCAGGTCAGTAGAGAAAGTCTGGACCATCAAAGGATGGGAGGCAGCCAAGTTTCCATGGCGATGGACCTGCACATCCCCAACAAAGTCCCAGTCACGCTAAAAGTGAAGGACAGGTCAGATACAGCCAGGCGCCACCAACTGCTTCGTCAAACCAAAGTTGAATACGTAGAAGAAGTAGACGAAGCAGCACGATCGCCAACCAGTCACACTTACTCGCCTAATTCGCTAGGAAAGAGAAATTCCATGGACGTGAAGCTGTTCGAGGAGCTAACAGCAACCAAGGATTTCACGAAAATATCACCCAGGGACTTTCGCAAGATCTCCTCGCCAAGCTTTCATAAAATTTCATTGGATAAGGTTGGGAACGAAAGGAGGATCGAGAGGTCCATGGGCAATCGTAAGGCCAGCCTCGAGTTCAGAAGAAGTCCTGACTTCCGTAAAGGAGATTATAGGAAACTGTCCATGGAGAGATTCAGCATGGACTGCACCAAATACTTCTCGGACGAGGTAGGAATCAGGTCGAGGGCAAGCAGTGGCGAGAACCTGCGTAGGCAACGTCAACCTAAACTCTACCAGTGCAACTCTGACGACTGTAAACGAAGATCGTTTGAAAGACACCACAAAGATGGCCAGTCGAGCAGATGTTCTCTAAACACGCAAGCAGTTATCGAGAGTGCAGGTGATTCGGACTTCAAGTACTTTGTCGAGACGTCGTTGGATACCGAAGAGAGTCGTGCAGACTATTCCGATGAGAGTCGCACGGTCGATATAGACGAGCCAGCCGTGGCTTTGTCGTGTGGAGGATCGAACGAAGTTGATGCCTTGCTCGAGGAACCTGAACTGGAGAATCTTCCAGAGAATGGGACGGAGAGTGCAAGGGTACACGGAAGTGCTAGGGAAGAAATGAAGCCAGAGATAGCGGATGATACCAAGAAAAATCGTGAGAGTACAGATAATTTTATTACAAAGAGTTTTGAAGACTTTAGGAGGAGCGAAGAGAAGACTTTGTATATAGCGGATGATGAAGTTTGAAGAGTAACCATTAATGTCAATGGGCTAAATGTTGAGAAGCGTTGAGAAATGTTCTTAATTAAGAATAATCATTTTTCATTTGAAAACTGAAGTTAGAGGTAAGTTTTGAACAAAAGTGTCGTGATACTGGTAATTAAACGACTACCACTAATGAGTTTGATAAATTTTGAAAATCGCAGGTATATAAATAAACATTACAGTTACATTTAGAAAGTGAACCTAACTCCATGGTAGCAGTTTGTTACGATCGGGTTGTAGATTTTAATTTAAACAAAATTTCAAGCTAGGAAACTTAATGAAACTTACGACATAATTAATTAAACTAACATTTTTGTAGGATAAGGCAATAACATACTTCCAAGAAACATACTTCCACTCTAAGAAAAATCTTTTCCATTAAACATAGATTCTTTTGTTACCGGTTAACAAGAAAATGATCATTAGTTGGAAAAGTAAAGATGGACATTATTGTGTCTGTTTTGAACTCGTTCACTTTGACTGAGATTTAATGCATAAAATTTTATAAAGCAAATGATTTAAACAGACAATCTCTACAATTACTGTCCATGACTTCGAACCAAAGACTTTTTTTTTAATATTTATTCGAGTTCCCTTTAAATGATACAGGGCATATTTATACAACTCGCAATTAAACTAAATTAAAATAGCTAAGAAAATTGCTGACTACACTATCCTGTTGTGCTATTGTAAACGTTGTTTGGTAAATTCGTATACATTAGGCCTACATCGTTAAACTAAGAGACTTATAAACTCGACTAAACATTCGTTTCCACGGAGTATCGTGAAGGAATTATTAAATTTTGTACAGTTAAGAATTTTGTAAAAGGACAAATCTAGCAAAAGTGACAATCCATTAACGCCAGACGTACGTTGTTTTTTTAAACGAAAGGCTTAACCAAATGTATAAATCTATTTTTATATCTCTCGTACAGTGATATGGTGTCAGTAGAATATTATACATTACTAACGATATCCATTATTCTCTAGTCGATTGTTTTTTCTAGTACGATAAATATTCAAATCAAAATCAATTAAACGTTCAAGGTCATCGAGGATCATTCCTCACTACACTTCAGCCTTGAGTGGCCAAAACAAAAGTGCTTTCGCATCATAAAATTTCTCTGTTCATTTCACCCCGATGATCCATAATGAAAATACATTTCACACATTGAAAAGGTTTCTCTCTAAACAATAATATAGAAAATTAGAGAGAAACAAATTGAACCCCCTTCTGAAATTAAACTAAAAGATTAACACTCATTCAAAGGAATCAAAATGGTCTTATGTGTAATACTAAGTTTTATTTTTTAAGACACAACTTTACATACCATACAGAGACATTGTAATCCTACTTCAAATAGTTATCGCAAACTATGAAAAGAAACATTGGCTCTGGGTTGTTATTTGTGCCAATACAATGTAAATACTTCAAACGCGTAGGTAGCAGTTAACAGAAAAAACATAATCGAACTGTGATGAAAATGTAAATACGTAAGAATAACGGTAGGATGATTGTTTGCTGCCAAACAAAAGTCAGTGCTGTAAAATTTTTGACAATTTTATTTAATTAATCGATACTAAGAGAACAAGGATAACATTGAACAAGGAGTTTCTCAATTCAAATTTTATTTAAATTGTTTAGATCCAGGGAGTCCAAAAGATAAATGCAAAAATAATACGTTATGGAAACTAAACGATAAATTCTATTTCTACCAGATTAATTATTTAATATATATATATGTTTATCTCTCTAACGTGGAATAAATAAACGCTATAAACAAGCAATATCAGTAAAGTGGAGTATTTACTTCGACTAAAATCCAACGTTTTTGAAATAATTAAATCCTTTTCAAGAGTATCTTTTACAGCACTGAAACTGTTCAATACAAGAGACAAGTAACTTTGTCCTACGCCAAATTGTACTTAGCGAACGCGTTGAGATAAATGAGTATTGTTGTAAAGTTCTGGACTCAATGTAAACTTTGCATGCTGACTGTTGTAACATCTCAATAAAACAACTTCAGAAAAGAACGTTCGCGTAATCAAACTACTGTACTTAGGGACAAATAAATAGTCATAGAAACATTCGAATGAATTAATTGGCACTCTATTTGATTAACATTAAAGTGATGCTAATTATATAGTTATTAAACGAAAAAAAAAAAAGAAGGGGAAAAAATTGCCGCGGTCGAGATGCGAACCCAAGTCGTCCGCGCGCGAGTCTAACGCTCTAGCCACTGAGCCAATCGTAATCTGTAGCTGTGCTTTTAAATTCGAGACCATCCTAGCACATGGTGAAACTTTATAAACTTTGACAATTAATATTACAAAATCTAAAGCCTAATAACGCGAAAGTTTCGAGTGTTATAATGTTTATTACTCATAGAATAAACATATAAATCGTCATGTAAATCTACGATCTCATGGTTCTTTTAAGTGTAACGATCGAACACAAGCTATAACCTATAATCTTCTCGATCTATAATTGTCTCCTCAACCCCTGCTGGTAAGGGATGCTGAGCGAGTTCGTCACGTGCGTCCATACATAAATGTTCTCGTCACTCATGAAGACCGCGATCGATGAGCCAGCAACGTGCACGTAATCTCGTTTATTTTTACCAAATGATTTACATAGTTACCTAACCTTCGAACACCATGCCTCCTCGACGCTTTCATTGTTAATTTCACGTTCATGGTCGCGACGTTCGAGTGGTTGACAGTGGATAAACAAAAGTGGATGATTCGAGGCAAGTGTTCTATCAATTATTTATGAAATGAACAAAAATGAATCGACCAGCAGATATGGACCCCTCGTCGGCGCCATCGATGAAGGGACAAGCAGTGCTAGGTTTTTGGTACACAAATTTTATTTATTGTTTATCAATTCGCCATTCATTTTCAATTTAACTCACAAATTTAACTCTTCTATGAATTTTCAATTTTCTTTCTCCGTCACTAAGTATTGGACTCTTTCAGGTGTTCGCTGCAAACACAGCAGAGGTATTAACATATCACCAGGTTGCCATATCGCAGTCGTGTCCAAGAGAAGGATGGGTCGAGCAGGATCCTGTAGAAATATTGAAGGCGGTTAGAGAATGCCTCAATCAAACTGTGTTTAATCTAAGACAGCTTACCATAGACCCTAGCGATATAGTTGCAATTGGTATAACGAACCAAAGAGAGACCACGGTTGTGTGGGACTCCATCACAGGGGAACCGTTATACAATGCCATAGGTATTATCTGAAATCTAGACTATTTCTTCAGGTGACAATTATAATATTAAGAAGATTACAAATTTAAATGTATTATTACTTTATAGTATGGATGGACATGAGAACCACGTCGATCGTAGACCATATTCTGAAGAAGATACGTAATCAAAACAAAAACTACTTGAAGCCCCTCTGTGGGCTACCCATTAGTCCATACTTCAGCGCTTTGAAATTGAAGTGGCTGTTAGAGAATGTTCCAAGAGTTCGAGAAGCATTAGACCACGATCGATGCATGTTCGGCACTATCGATTCCTGGCTAATTTGGGTAAATTTACTAACATACATACTTCTTATGATCAACAATTACGATCTTCCTTTATTACAGAATCTAACTGGAGGACCACATCGCGGAGTCCACGCCACAGATGTCACAAACGCCTCCAGAACCATGCTGATGAACATCACAACTCTAAAATGGGATCCCACCTTGCTATCATTCTTTGATATACCCTTAAAGATTCTACCAGAGATTCGTAGCTCGTCAGAGATATACGGTTACATTCAAGATGATATCCTAGCTGGAGTTCCAATATCTGGGGTACGCATTCCCTGCAAAAACTTTTTCTTGCTACTGTAATGTATTTCTAGAATTAATTACAAGCAAATACTTATTTCTACAGTGTCTGGGTGATCAGCAGTCAGCTCTGGTGGGCCAAATGTGTCTAAAGAGAGGCCACGCGAAGAGCACCTATGGCACAGGCTGTTTCCTTCTATACAACACTGGAACTGCTGTAAGATGAATTTCAAACCTCCCGACGACATCTCTCCAGACCCAAAAATACTTACAAATCATTTTGAAGATCGTAGATTCATCCCATGGTCTCTTAACAACAGTTGCTTACCAGCTAGGACCGCAAGCACCAACCATATATGCACTCGAAGGTTCCGTAGCCATAGCTGGAGCAGTTGTTCAATGGTTGAAAGATAATCTTGGAATCTTATCCGATATAAAAGAGTGCGAGACTCTTGTTGAACAAGTTCCAGCCAGTAACCACGTCACGTTCGTGCCTGCGTTCGCTGGATTGTATGCTCCATATTGGAGAAAAGATGCCAGGAGGTAAATAGAATAATAGTATAATTTAATTATAATGTTGTATAGTAATGCAGGAAATCTTGAACAATGTTACTGTCACATATCTGTTGCAAAGTGTCATCGTTTCAGTGTTATATGTGGAATTACCGAAGAAACTGATAGTTCGCATATTATAAAAGCAGCATTGCAAGCCGTTTGTTTTCAGACGAAAGATATCTTGCAAGCCATGAAAGAGGACACTGGATTAACTCTGTCTAAATTGTTAGTGGACGGTGCTATGACCAACAATAATTTGTTGATGCAAATGCAGGCCGATATCTGTGGAATTCCAGTTGGTAAGCGAAATATATATAAGTTTTATTAAATGCTCTGTACGTAAAGAAACTAAATAAATATGGATTTGATTAAATGGACAATTCTACAAGAAAGTGAGGCCTTTGATGTGTGAGACCACTGCGCTTGGGGTTGCCATTGCTGCAGGAAGCGCAGATGGCATACGCAAATGGGATGTAAAGATAGATGCTGCTGTACCTAGCGATACGTTCTTTCCTTCCATTTCAGAAAATGGTAAGCTCCTCAAGTTTAATATATAAAAGTGTTTGTTTAATGTGTAAAATACATAATAATATTTGTTGTAGAGCGAGATATATTGTATACCCAATGGAAAATGGCCATTGATCGCAGCTTGGGATGGGAACCAATACCAGATACCAATGGTAAATATGATTATCCACTAATAAGTGGATACACAGATTTGATCTGTTTTAGATAATTCTTAAGATCTTAATTTGCAGATGACACAAAGAACATCCACAAGGCAACCGCCCCTGGCATTTTCGTGATAAGTACAATCGTTCTCCTCACGATTGCAAAGTATCATTCTATGTTATGACTCCGCGAGTGCAGTACCATGTACTGTACTCGTAATGCATTTAGGCAGGTCTGCCATCGAGTGTTAAAACAAACGTGATGCAACTGTACTGGTCATTATACTTTGTAAAAGTAACATTTAGCTATAGGTACGAGAAACAGATTTAAAAACAAATACAAATAAAGGTGCCATAATATTGTAATAATTTTAATATCTGCTGGAACAAGATAAATCAAAGGAATGGTATTTGGAGTCTACTTAAATCTGTAATCTATTTAAAAGTAGTCATTCATTTAATTAACATTATTTAAGTCTGATGATGGGGTTTCATTGACGTGAGTGTTAATATCTGCTTGCTCTTTTACTTCTTTACACTTCTCATTCGTCTTCGTCGCTCTACAGGAACTTTTCTAAAAACACATTAAACCAGTGAATATTTAATTATATTAATTACTAAGATAAGGAGTAAAAATCATACAATATGTTACCATTAATATATCGCTGGTAGAAGTCTGAGCAGTAACCAGAGCCTCAACCAGCCAAACGTCATTCCTTATACTATCAATCTGTAATCGTATCCGTTGCGGTACAAGTATTCGCGAGATAAGCGAACGACAAGTGTCAGACACGTTAGGTTCCTTTGGAAAGGTGACTCTGCTTTGTACCTGCTATATAACAAAGTATCAGCTACTAGAATCTGCTATCGATAAATAATATCGAAAGAGAATCATGCATCGCGTCGTTATATTGTTTCTTTCTTTTTAATGTACCTGGGTACCTTTAGAAGTTGGCTGTAATTAGTGTCGTCGAACGGTAGTCGACCATAAACCATCGCGTAGAGCACTACTCCCATGGACCACACGTCAGACGATTGAGGCAAATAGGGGACTCCCTTCAGTATCTCAGGCGACGCGTACGCGTAACTTCCACAGAAGGTTTCGCTCATGGGAGTTACACCATTTTTCGGTGCCATTTGTCCTCGCGCGAATCCAAAATCGGACAATTTTATATTGTAATTGTGGTCCATTAAAAGATTTTCACATTTCACGTCCCTGAAAATTAAATGAACCGATTATTTGTAAACGTCTCACTAGTAAATTCGACCCTGGAGCGAGTACATTCGCACACAGTGAGTACATGTATAATATTTCTACGTACCTGTGAACTATACCACGCCTGTGACAATAATCAATCCCTTCTAATAATTGCCTGAACCATCTACGACTGCGTATCTCGTCGATGAAGGTGTCGCGTCTTATTATGTCCAACAAACTACCGTTTTGAGCGTACTCCATGATAATGTACACGCTGAGTATTAATTATTAATTAAGTTTTAGACGGTGTCGTTGAAAGTAAATTTGTATTTTAGAGTACGGGTAAGTTTTAGCGTTGCGGAGAGTTTAAATTGGTAATATTGTAACAGTAGTGCGTCTGGCGATGGATGTGTGTTTTAAGATTTAAAAAAAGGAAATATTTCTTATTCGTTCGCTTCATATTTTGCGGGGGTGAGGTACTCCAAGATGGCGCAAACTCGCGCAGTACTGTAGCTATACAAAATAATGCCCGATCCAAATTCGTTTTTTTACTCGTATCATTCTTTGTGGTGAATAAGAATGATTTATGGTCGTTTAGTTAGTCGGTCCCTTTATTGGAGTGATTAGCTTATTGAAATATCTATTAGATACTTTAGAGCTGGAACAATCTTCGAGTACTCCCTGCGCGTAAAATATGAAGCATTCAAAATAAGAAATGTTTCTTTTCTTTTAAATATTGCAGATCACTGCTGAATCAACAATTAGATGTAATCAATCAAATAAATAGGTCTCTGGGATAATTGCGCGTTTAAATGTTTGTAAAAGTACGATAGATCAACTAACCGATGGGTTGTTTCGATTGCCTGCAAGAACCGTATTAAATTCGGATGTTTCAAGCCTTTGACAACTTCAATTTCTCGAGGAAGAAATTTTCTTAAATGTTCCCCAGGTGCTTGAAACTTCGAAACGATTTTTACTGCTACTTGACAAGCATGTCGATCGGATTTCGCAACCTTTGCGGTACATATTTTAGTAACATTTTTCGTAATACTCTTACTTACTATTTTCTTATCGCATAACATACTTTTACGGTTGCATATGAACCCGCGCCTATTGTCTTTCCTATAGAGTAACCATGTGACTCGAGAACCGTTAGTTTCTTTTCCGACTTTTTCTCATTTTCTTCCTCTGATAATTTTATAGCTGATTTATCAGGTGCTATTGGTGCGGTTGCCATTTTATGTATAAAAAGTTGTTCTGTCTATGAAAATCAAACTCGAATAATTACGGGTAAAATTTTCGTGTAATCGTATTTTTTTTTTTTTTTTATATATATATTTATAATATTCTTACTTTAACTTTAGTACTTTCAACGACGACATTTTTCTTGTTGGGTTACATGTTTCAAGAAATTGTTTGGAATGATAATTAGTGCTGTAATTTGGTATTTACGACATGTTGTCAGATGTGATTGTGAATTGAAATTTAGCGCGAAGAGTAAAAGTAATCGATTGAAAACATTTGAAACGCGATTTGTTATCGATAATTGCTGCGTTCAGAAGAGGAACTAATCTTCAAAAATTCGTTCGGTCACCGGCAGGGTTGCCAAAAGCGCGAAGATAGATCTCCGCGTTTGGCAGGAAACATCTCATTTTTTTTTCCTTTCATAATTTTATTTTGTGGGGGGCGACTAAGGCCGCCAGTTTTATAAAGGTACTAGATACTTTACTGGTCGACTGCGTAGCCTCTAAATACTGCGCATGCGCATTTATGCCTTGAGTATATAGAAATATGTGTTTATATATTTCTATATATAAACCTTATACGATATCAACACGATATTCAATCGATTTGTATAGCACATGCATCGTCGATAAGAGCGTGCGTTTACTGATGATTAAAAACACTTGTTATAGTCATAATCTGGTTAAACTTTTCCATTAGATAAGATAGCGAATTAATTACAAATTTAATTTTGTCGATATATATTTATTTACATCAACATTTGTGACCAGTTCAATGACTTCAATTCAATGCTTTACTGGAGCATAATAAATTGTAATGAAAACGATGCATGTATAGTTGCTACTGCCGATATGAATATAATTGAATATGAATCTCTATTTATTGGCAGTTCATCGACATCGGCAGATTATCAGAAGTCGCGATAACAAGAAATACAATGTTATACATGTGGTACAACATCAAAGATATATCCCCACTGATTGAGAGTAAAGATCAAGTCTATGGATCCTGAACATTGATCAGTGTCGAGGCAAAGCTGCAAACATGAAGCTTCTATTAACCATTCATTTCTTTGCAATCTACTTTTTGAATTACGTAGGGGTGCTTGGCTCTAACAACAGCGTTCCCCTGGTTGTCATAACTTGGGATTACCAGGATGCAACCCAAAAAGGTAGAAACTTGTACATGTTTCTAGTTTTTGTAATTTATAAAAGACGTCGTGCTAACATATTTCCATTTATTTCCAGCATGGGATGTCTTGTACAACCAAAAGAGAAGCGCTCTGGATGCCATAGAGGAAAGTTGCAGCCTCTGTGAACAGCAGAGGTGCAGGAAAACTGTGGGCTACGGAGGTAGTCCAGATGAGTCTGGAGAGACTACATTGGACGCCTTAATCATGGATGGGTACAATGATCATTTTTTCCATATATACAGTATAAATCATAAAAGTTTGGATAATTGATACTAAATTATTTTGTGACAGAGTCACGATGGATGTAGGCGGCGTAGGTCTCTTAAGAAATATCAAGAATGCAATTTCTGTTGCTCGCAAGGTTCTCGAAAATACTAAACACTCCTTGCTAGGAGGAGAGCTGGCTGCACAGTTCGCTCTGGAAATGGGATTCAAGGAGGAGTCCTTACAGACGGAGGAATCCAAGAAGATGTGGTTGGATTGGAAGAAGAATAATTGCCAGCCCAATTTTTGGAAGGTAAATTATTATATATATTATATTTGTAATGGCTAAGTAAAGTATAAGTAAAGTTTTATTCGAGAGACTTTATTTGTTCGTTGCTAACAGTCACAATAAATAATAGCAAATAATAAATAATGAGTAAAACATAAATAATTATCTAATTCAGAACGTGGCACCAGATCCTAAGAAGAGTTGTGGCCCGTATCGCTCTGTGAACACAATGAACAACAATATTGAGGAGCACGAGTCCTATGTAAACGAAGAGAATCACGATACGATTGGTGTGATTGCTATAGATTCAAAGGGTCACATAGCAGCTGGTACGTCGACGAACGGTGCTAGAAATAAAATTCCTGGCCGAATCGGGGATTCCCCCATTGCAGGAGCAGGTGCATACGCTGATCAGAAGGTCGGTGCAGCTGCTGGCACTGGCGAAGGAGATATAATGATGCGTTTTCTACCTAGGTAAACGAAAAAGTCGTTTAGTCGATGAAACAAAGCTTTATATGGCAATTTCTAGATATTAGAATAATACCAAATAATAAAAAAATTTTTTTTGTTAAGCTTCCTGGCTGTTGAAGAGATGCGTCGCGGCGCTAGTCCAACGGAGGCTGCAACAACAGCGATTAGAAGAATAGCTGAACATTATCCAACGTTCACGGGTGCAGTGATAGCATTAAACAAAGAGGGAGAATACGGGGCTGCTTGTAACGGTATTACACGTTTCGCGCATTACATTGCTAATCCCCAATTAGGAAAACCGACTATGAATTATGTGGACTGCATAGACGCCTGGTATAACGTTGTTAGAGCTGGAGATTACCAGTGATGGATCAGTCACCCTATACTGAAATAAATTAATATAATTAATATATATAACTCTTGTAAAATTCTTCTGTATCATTAGATAAATTAATGTAAAGCGTGAAAATAAAAATACATGTTATTTACTTATTTGCAATACCCTTTATTACCCATTATCGAGTGGATACTCCTCATATTAAGAGTTGAAATTCTGGCCAGAATTTTACTCCTGGTATCAGGAGAACATGATATGCGAAGAGGTGGCGCGAGAAATTTTTGATACGTATGAAATTCTGGCCAGAATTTTACTCCTGGTATCAGGAGAACATGATATGCAAAGAGGTGGCACGTTTGCGCCTGCAAGCAGGCAACCGGTCCGACATA